TCGCAAGTATAACTTACATTTTACAATGCAGAGACTGTAACTAGAGATATGCTAGTTATAAATACAGTAATCATTACTTTATTTAGGCAGAAAAAGTTCATTGTGGTTTCCAAGCTCATTAATGTTAACGTTAGTGGTCTTCCACTGATGATAGTGGCATTAGCTAGCTTAGTGGTTAGCTAGTCTATGATGAGCCATAATTTAGCAATAGATAACATCATACTGCAAATTGTAAAACATACATTTTCAACATAAAAGGCCAAGGAGAGATGATTAAAGTGTGTTTTGTCCATTTTTATTTTATTTTTTAAATATTCATTTATCGGCCATTATAACTGCCAAAACCGATATTATGGAAAATGCCTAATATCGGCTGATAATATCGGTCTGGCTCTATTAGCTGGTGTGTGATGGAGGATGCTCACTCCTCTCTTCATCCTCTCTGCCTGATCAGTCCTCTCCTCCGCCTGCTTCTTGTAGCGGGAGAGGATTTCCTCTCGCTCTCTGCGCTCTCTGTACATCTGCTCCTCCTGAAACTGCAGCACAGCCTGGACATACACACACACACCTTAACGATTAATGAGGCATTTATATAGCATTTTATTATGTACTACTGTACACCCAAAGCACTCTACAATCAGATCAGGGGTTCTCCCCTCAACCACCAAGTGTGCAGCATCCACTGTCAGAACACTGGTGCCAGTACGCTCAACAAACACACAAGCTAGGTGGAGAGGAGAGAGAGTGATAAAGCCAAATGAAAGCATGAGGATTCTTATTAGTAGGCCCTGATTGATAAAGGCCAATGGAGGGAATTTGGGCTGGACACCAGATCGAGTTACACCCCATTATTTATGAGAAGTATTACTTGCACAACCTTTACCATGGCACACTTACACTTGTGCTTCCTTTATTATCTCATTACATTAAATGCTTTGTCTTTACCTTGGCTGCATCCTTTGACAAGTGAGCGTCAGTGTTCATGACCTGCAGTTCTTTGAGCACTTGTGTCTGCCGGTGGATCTCCGCCTCCAACCTGTCCAGCTGTGGTTGAAATGTAAGACTTTCTTCCTGAAGAAACAAATAAGAGGATAATCCTAAATGTTTATTTGCCATGCTGTTTAAAAGATTGAGGTCGCTTTTAATCTTAAAGGGATTTTTCGCCCCAAAAAATGAAAATTATGTCATCATTTACTCACCCTCATGTGGTTCCAAACCCATAAGACTTTCGTTCATCTTCCGAACACAAATGAAGATATTTTTCTGTCCCTCCATTGACAGCCTATGCAACTACCTCATTCAAGAAAGGTAGTGAATACATCATTAAAGTAATCCATGTGTCTTCACTGGTTTATCCTCAACTTAAAGCCACACTGCGGAACCTTTGGCCACTAGGGGCGCTCGACCTGTAACTTTCACGTCTAGCGTCCCTAGAGGCCACAAGCTCCGCAGCAATGTTGCAAATAAAAGTCAACCGGTCAGCCTCCCATGTCTTTAGATTGCTGGTTTAGCTCACGCCAGCGAGCGAAACGAAAGCTGGACCAATGTGTTAATCCTCGTCCTGGCTTTTAATTTGTCACTCGCTTTTCTTTGTTTGGTTTCCTCTGATAAAACCGTTGCCTTCTTCCTTGTAGGTGTTGTTCGGCCATTGACGAAAACATACAGACGGCAATCAAACGCGAGTTGAGCACTAACAGAATCTGAGGAAGTTTGGGGTGGTGGGGGAAGTGACGTATATGCCGGAAAAGTGGTCGAATTTTGTAGTTCTTTTTGTGCTTGGGTTCCTACCCGAAACCCGAAGTTACAAAGTGCTAGTAAAAGCGATACAGACACCTTCAGGATACGGCAGACGCGTCATTCAACCTATTGCAAGTCGATATACCATCTCAATGGATTTTGGTTATATATTATAAAGGTTGAAGAGTTACACAGTATGGCTTTAATGAAGCGACATGAGTGCTTTGTTTGCGCAAAAAAAAAAAACACAATTTAGCCGTTTATTTACAAAATAATAATCTCCATTGGACGTTCACGAGAGCACCATGGCGCATGTGTGTTGACGCAAACCAGACGTTGTTGCACAAACGCATGCTGGAGATTAGTTTTTTGTAAATACGGTGGTACATTATGCTGTTGTTGCTTTTTGCACAAACAAAGCATTCTTTAATTTAATCATTTAATTTTTTAATTTATTAAAGATTAAATACATTTTAATAGATTACTTTAATGATGTCCATCTTTCTGGGGCTTGAAAGTGATACTGTAGTTGCGTAGCTGTCATAGAGGGACAGAAAGCTCTCATATTTCATAAAAATATCTTCATTGCGTTCCGAAGATGAAGAGTAATTAATGACAGAACTTTCATTTTTGGTTCAACTAACCCTTAAGGAAAGAAGTCTTATGCTCACCTGTACAATTTAAAAGAACTGTTTTCTATTTTAATGTAATTTTTTCCAGTGTTTAAAGCTGAATTTTCAGCAGGTTTATGTGGTTTGTGTGTACTGTGTCAGTCTGTACATGAATTCAGTTCATCATCTGTTCTTTCTCAGATACCTGTAGGTGGTCCTTCAGTTTGAGGTATCCTCGCGTTATGTGCTGTGCTTCGTGATATTTCAGCTGCGTTTTCTCCAGTCGGTTTTCCAGAATGCGCAATTTCTATACATCAAGCACACAAGTTCATTCATTTTCTTGCTTGAACTAACGTATTTAATTGTGCTCATCAATGCAAGGTGGGTAAACACTCTGCTTACCACTAATCATGACATAGGAGAAGACTTTACACAAGAAGAATGACTTATTGGCAGAGTTTCTTTACTGTAATTCTCATAATGGTATGCAAAAAAATCACATTCCCGCAAATTGTATAATAATAATAATTGTAATAATAAAACATTGTGGTCATGGTTTTAAACAGGATTATATTTAGTTTGTTTGTGTTGTAAATTACAGTAAGGAAAAATTTGGACCAAAATTATTTGACTGGACAAAAGGCTTAATTTTCTTACTGCCTTTTTTCCTTTTGATTTTAGGAGGAAACCTGGACGATTAAGATTCACCAGTGTTCCACAGGAAAAAAAAGACAATTTCTACCTTTTCCTCCTCCTCTTGTTTCTGTTTGTCAGGCAGAGGGCTTCTGCTCTGTGGCTTCATCTTCTGGTACTGGAGCTTCAAGACCTCTAAACGCTCCCTCTGTTTCTGAGTGGTGTGTTTCATAGCATTCAGCTTCTTGGTTTTATCAAACACCTCTTTCTCCAGCAACCTTTGAGCTGACTGGACAACAAAAATTTGAAACAAAAGTGAAAGAAGTCAAACAAAAGTTTTTAAAATAACTGATTAAAGGTTAATTTAACCCCACCTTAAGAGACATGTTCCTGAATGTTTTCTCCAGCCCACAGCTTTGCAAAACATCCTTGGTTGCTTGTGTATCTCCCTGGACAACCATGACCAAAATATGCATTAAATACACCTATTACGTTACTTAAATTGTATGGTTATGTTTTAACATCGCATATATGTGTGTGTGTGTGTTCATAATTCTGACCTCAGACAGTTTCTTGCGCAGGTTTTTATTCTCTTGTCTTAGCTGAAAGATGGTTTCACTGTTCTTCTTGATTTCAGACTGAGAACTTTCGTAATATGCGCTTGTCTCTCCCTCTAGTGGACAGAGAGAGAAAATATTCATTTAGCCGTAGTCACGTGACGTAAGTGTTTTGAATCACGCTTCGGATCAGTGTTTCGAATCATAGTTTCGAATCATCTGCGCTTCGGGGATCTCGCAAAGCTTCGGAACGTCTGTTTCGCGTCAGTTACTTGAACGAAGTAAATATACATTAATGAGCACATATATTTTTGAAAGAGCTAAGTGTTTTAGCTAAGAATAAACTAAAAGAGTTACACAGTGTAGCTTTAAGCAGGTTTTAGGTTTCAGCTTAATTGGTGAAATCTGTAATAAAAAACTTACCCAGAAGTTGAATTTTTCTTCGGAGCTCCGAAATTTGATTATGGGTAGGGTGCTTGATGCCCCCTGAGGCAGACGTGCCAGACATTTTTATGAATATTTATTATTTTGAGGTTTAAATGTGGATTTCCGTCTCTACCGCCTTGCCAACAGCCTCCACGTTTGTGCGTCTGAAACTCGTTGCTTAGCAACTGAACCAGAGCGTTGGCTCAAGTTACGTGCCTTAGTGGACATTACCAGAGCCCGTCTAGACATTTTCTGACATTACGTGCATGAGCTAATTCATTTCTCAACAGCATCACATCACATGATGACTTAATATTTACACCCCGAAACAAACAAGTACAAACTGAAAAAGGGCTACGTAATATGGACGCATTGAAAAACACTGCAGAAAACTTTTATTGTGATAAAACGAGTGGCTTCCATTATACAATATATGTATGTATGTTTGGATGCATATACGTATATATATATATATATATATATATATATTTTTTTTTTTTTTTTTTAAACATCAGATAGCTGTAGCCAATGGTTATCATTATTGTAACTGTCGTCTGAAGTTACCCAGTAACACATAATTAGATATTCAAAAAGTTACAGTTAATAGTCTACATAGGACAATACTGTATATACAAATGGCAACAAAAATACACAAAAATCTGTAATTAGCAAAAACGAAATGAATAGATTTGTAACACTTTTGGCTGTAATGACGTGGCATCATTTACTGGTGCCTGAGTTGAGCCATGAAGTCAGTGCAAATGGCAAATGGTCTCTCTATTTTTCTCTCCCTACAAAAATTATTTTTGTCTTGTCCTAATCCACTGTTTTCAGCCCCTCGTTGGACTTCTTGAGGATGGACAGCAGACTCTCTGGCATGAAGTATGGTCTGTCCACTGTGCCATCATTGCGTTCAAGATCCTCCACTGTTGGAACAATTTAGGTTGAGACAAACAAGCATGATCTTAACATGAAACATTTGCCAAACAGTATAAACGCTAAAAATAGGAGCATCACATTGAGAGCAAAGAAAGGCTTGAGATCTCAACAAAGAGAGTTCAGTTTATTAAAGCACTGGGATCACATTAACAACATGCAAAGATTGAGAAAATTGAAGCACAGAGGTAGAAAAAGAGGCAATAGAGCGGCAAACAGCGACAAATATCAGGCATTGAAAAGGTTGCAATCTGTCGATACAATTACCAGAGCAGACCAAAATATAGGGCAATACACTTTTTTTTTTCTTTGATTGTTTTGTTTTTTAAGTTCACTTACTGTTGGTGCTTTTTCATGTCCTGTTACACTGCACCATTTCAATTTCACATTTTTTAGATACATTTCCACAAATTCTTACAAAATGACATTTTGGTCTTGGCTGGTATGACTGTAAACGGATGTTTTTTGTTTTGTTTTTGTAGTTGTTGCTGTAAACATAGCGATACTGCAAAATCTTTTTTGCATTCTTCAAAATGATTAAGACATTGATAAGTAACACTAATTAGGCACAAGTCGAGCACCTACATTACACTTTTACATGTCCTTATATTAAAACGTTCTACATAAATCACAAACACAGTCACATTCTACAAGTGCTATGTAGGCATATCTAATGGGGTTTAGGTCCACGTAATCAAAAGTTATCCGTTCAATCAGCTCATACGTTGAGTAAAAGACTGATTCTGTCCTATTTGTGTCATGCCGTCCATTATGACCAGTGATTATTAATTAAGACACGGTTCTCAAAGTAAACATTGTGACTCAAACGAAGGAGGTACTTTCATTTGTGTACTAATGGCTTGCTAAAGCCACCAAAGTGCACTAGTTCCCAAATTAGTTGGCTTCTTTGAAACCCAACCTTCAATGAGACTCCTTGCACTACTACTCCTGAGGGGTGAGCAGGGTCTCGCTCTCTTGAGGTCCGTTTTCTTGAGGCTTCGGTTCCTCTGGTTCTTGTAAGTTCTCGGCCTGTGGTGGTTCTGCTTGAGGTTGGGCCACCTGCTCCTCCTTGTCGTCACCGTCCAACTCTTGGGGTCCATTTTGCTGTGGGATCACTTGTGGAGGATCAGGCTCTTGTGTTGCAACCTGCTCTTCGGGTTTCTCCTCGGCGGCGACGGGTGCCTCTGGAGGATGCGTTTCTTGGGGAGGCTCTTCAATGTGCGTCTCTTGATTCAGTGGCGTCTCTTCTTCTTGCTCCTGCTTAAGAACCACCTGCTCTTTGAGCTGCACCTCTCCATTCTCCTGCAGCGGGATCTCCTCTTCGGCTTGGACGTGTATGGCTGGTATCTCGGCATGGTCTGTCTCCTCTGCGCTTTTTTCTTTAGACAAAATCTGGTGCAGCTCAGGGGACATGAAGAACGGCTTGTCCGAAGAACCGTCGTTTCTCTCCAGGTCTTCGCCTTGAGTTTGTGTTTGTGTGTGATGATATGTTTAAATGTTAGTGTTTTGAGAGTGCACGTAGCGGAAAGGAGCACAAGGACACATGATTGGACAAAATCATGTGGGAGAGAGAAAAACAGAGAGAAAGAAAGGAAATGGTTAGAGATAAAGCAAGCCAAAAGCCGCTGTAAGCATTGTGATATGCAGATATGTCAACAGTGGGTACCGGAAGTAAAAGTCCCAGTCATTTTCTCCATACACAAAGAGAAACCGAGAGCTCTGAGGTTGTGAAGCAACAAATTGTGATTTAAATTTCCAAAAAATGTGTTTAATAGCCAATTTCATAAATAAGAATTACAAAAATGCTGAGAAGTAATTGCCCACTCCTATAAAGCATTGTGTATGACAACATTGGGTCTCTCTATTTTCTGAATCACTTGCGACTTTTACAATGATTCATGGTATGCATTGTTCATTCCCTCATAAATAAATTTTTTTAACGATAGTCTTTTAGGTGTATATCCGAGTGAAACAGCTTCTCGAACAAGAAAATAACATCAGAACTTGATTTTGTCCATCGAGAATTGTTTGACTTTGGATGGTTGTTGTTCGCTATTGGTCGATCACGCGTGAGTGACAGGTTGTCCTGCCCTCACGCTATTAAACGCATCATCAGAGAAGAGAAGAGATGTCGTTACAAGAGGGAGGCGGAGTTATTTTGATTAAAGACCATCAAAAAGTGATTATAGAGAAAATGAATGGGATTCTGGTGGGTGTTCACTGTTGCTCTATATTGCACTGTAGGAAAGAACAACAGTTAAAAGAAAGGAAAGAGTGCAGAACACAACAGCTGCTATTTATCAGAACCGTTGTTCTGTTACGCAGCCAAAACATTGACAACTTGTTAGATTTGTTCATTATGAATTATCTCGTGAAATAAATAACTTACAGAAACACAGGAAGAGTGTGTCCACACACATGGCATACACGCTAAAAAAGCCATGAGCAATCAGATACGAGCCAAACACCACAGTCTGTAAATGAGGGGAGATGTAATTAAAACACAGTCTGGAAATATTCAATTCTGGTATTGGGTGATTCTTTTAACTATGGTACTTTTATTGTCCCTGGATGAAATAATAAAATCTAAAAAATATTTCTTCTTTTTTGTTTTTGTCAGACTTACTTCACCCAAACGGGAATTTATAAAAAATGTATCATGGCTCATTTAATCATTCTTTTTATTATATAATATGAGGCCTTTTATGCATGATTTTTACTGTTTCCCCCCTGTCCCTAAGCCAGACTTTGTACCTTCAACCTCGCTTAATTCTAAATTAAATACTTAAATAATGTAGATTTTAAGTACAAATTATAAAATAATGTCTATTTCAATTATACATATTACATATTACAATATTTATTCACATTTTCTTATATTTTTCATAAGTAGAACCCTTGTCCCTTGGGTTCACTTTCATTTCCGCCACACTGTACAAAATAGAATCCTGGGATCATTGTTTTAGGTTTGAATACTTAGTAACCATAGCAATAGAAACTCCACAATGAACACATGACTGGGTGAAAGGGTCACCTCTTTAGGGGGAATCGAAAAGAAGAAAAATCAAGGTAGATATGACTAAAACTGAGAATATGTTTATTGGCCGTCATTTCCAAACGGCTCATATTTCACATGGACGTAAAAATAACTGGATAAAATTAATTTAATAATGTGTAATTTGTGTATATTTAATGCTAACTGTAAAACTAATATTAACAGGCTAACATAGCATGATATTTTAGAGGAAAAGGGGGGAAATGTCATTTCCACCACAGTCATTTCCACCACGTTGTTCATTGTGGTGGAAATGACATTGTTTGTGCTAAACAGCAAATTATTTTGGGCTATAATACTAAAATGTTAACGTAAAAACAAAAAACATACAATTAATTAAGTTAAGGTAGTAAGAAATATTGTATTATTTATTATTGCTACAATATTGTTGGTAAATAAGAGAACTTGGGTGTTTCCTTGGGCTGTCAGATAAAAATGCCAATATATATATATATATATATATATTATTCAATACAAATCATCGCACCCAACTTAAGGGAAGGTTTCTAGACAGATTGAGAAACCAACTGATACTAAAAAACTGTTTGTAGAAATGTTTTTATTTTCTGAAACTGTCTAGCTCAAAGAGCACCATAGTTGAAGAATCACCCTATATTGCAATGGACAATCTGGTATTGATTTCAACTCAAGATCACTTACCAATATAGGCACCCAGTAATAATTAAGGGATGGAGCGATGTCCTCCGCTACCTTAAACTTGCCCGTGAAGAAGAAGAATGAACAAATTCCTGAGAAGAGAACAAACAGCACGCTGTGTTATATTGGTAAATTGGAATATGAGAAGTCAGTTCCAACCAAATAACCTCTGAATTCACATGACATCTGTCAGTCTGTGAGCAAATCACTCACCCACAATTCCAACGATAAGGAGTTTGCCCAAAAATAAGAGGAAGTCTGTCACTTTGTCAAGAACTACCACACTAGAAAACAAGTCAAGTAAAGAGATTCAACTCTGCGCTGTTTCATCTGTTTATTCCCACAAAACCTCCAGATTTCAATTTAAATAACACTCACCGGACAATGTTCCTCATCAGGAGGAAGAATGCATCCTTGGCAGATGTACAGAAATTTTTGCCATATATTGCCACCTGAAAAGACAAAATGCCTCAAAATAACTCTGCTTTGGTTTCAGCAATTGTGTTATAACACTAAACATGCACTACTGATGTTCCCTAGCCAAAAATATTGCACAAAGGAGAGAAAGAATACCATGATATAGGCATTTCTGTTCAGGAACTTGATGAATTTCTCCAGACACCAAAAGCAGCACTTTAGGCAACTGAGCAAGAATTTTGCACACTTGTTCTGGGCACCTGAAGGAAGTAAATCACATAAACACACGTTATATGCGAATTAAAGGCATATATCAGACAGAATATAATGGAAAAAGTATTCCACAGTGCTCATAATCATTTCCCACACTTATTTATTTGATACAAATCTATTGCAGACTTGTTTTTGCCTGTCAGTCAGCATATTATATTTGCCAAAAGATGGATAGAATCAAGTTTTTGATAGTTTTTCTTATGGATTTTGCTTATAGCATTTTTAAGAAATAGTTTAATCAAAAATGAAAATGTGTCAGCCTTTATTAAAATAGATTTTTCATGTTGCATTTGAAAAAGTGTCAGCCTTTATTAAAATAGATTTTTCATGTTGCTCTTTTTCAAACAACAAAACCATAAATTGACCAGACTGGTTGCCAAGAGTAATGTGTATGCTCTGTTTTGGTTTAGTTTCATTGTGTTTTGTCCTGTCATTGAAAGTTGACCTAGTTTCCTAGTGTGTGCCAGGCATGAGACCATAGCTCGAACAAATCATAACAATCACACTGTACGACATGGATCTAGTAAACTTGGGTACGACATGTATGCAGAATATACAATGATGACGGCTATTGAATCATAGGTTATGACGCAAGTTAGTGTAGAAGAATAAAACGTCATCAGCATTTGTTAGTGGCAAATAAATAGAGCAAGATGAATCGCATTTTAGCAATTGTGCTATTTTATGTGCACTGAACAAATAGGAGGAAGCGAAAGAGAAGAATGTGATGCGGTCATGGCTAGGAAAAAGAGGCCAACTTGGCATGCCAATCTTACAAATGGAGATTAAAGGGATAGTTCACTTTGAAATTAATTTTTGGTATGTTTTAGCTTACCTCAAGGGAATCCAAGACGTAGGTGTCTTTGTTTCCGCAGTAGTTTCAATTTTGATATTTTTAGGTTAAAACGTTGTTGTCTGTCAGTCATATAATGGAGGTCTATGGTCACCACCTCAAAGAGCATGCACAGAGAAGTCCAAATTAAACATGATTTAATGACTCGTAAATGTAAGTACATATTGATGGCCTAAGACATGAAACGAGTGGTTTGTGTGAGAAAACAAACAGTATTTATATCGTTTTTACCTCGTTACCACAGCCACAAAGCACCCGCGCCCTCATATCACTTGGACGTGGTTGTGGTTACAAGAGGTAAAAACATACTGAAACGAAAATATACTGTTCGTTTTCTCACACAAACTGCTCGTTTCGTGTCTTAGGTCATCAATGTGTACTTATATTTATGAGTCATTAAATCATGTTTAATTTGGACTTCTCTGTGCATGCTCTTTGAGGTGGTGACCATAGACATGAACCTAAAAATATCAAAATAGAAACTACCGTGGAAACGAAGACAGCTACATCTTGGATGCCCTTGAGGTAAGCTAAAACATACCAAAAAATAAATTTCAAAGTGAACTATCCCTTTAAGGTGAGTAGCTTTAGCACCATGTTACTTTCTTCAATATTGCATTTTTATTGGATAGTCAGTTGTAATTCGTAGCAGCATAAATTTGTTCATTACGTAATCTTTAAAACATCTTCTTTTTTGTACAAAGGAAGAAAATAATATTGGTTAAGATCAAATGAGGGCAAGTAAAAGGTGCCATTTTTAATTTGAAATATTTTCTGACTATTTTGTTAAATTGATTGGCGGGGTATTGCTCCTAATGCAAACATTGTAAAGTGAAGGAATCTGAATAGTTTCTGAAGGCACATCCTGAAGCAAAATATTGAAAACATAGAGAACTTTGAAGCAACGAGACCTTTCAACTTCTGATCCATATACTCCAATATGACCCTGATGACCTGAACGATGGCAAGAATGAGGGAACCAAATGCCAGAGAACCAGTGTGATACCTGGAAAATAAGTGACCAATAAAGAGCATACAAAAATTCTATGTATTACATAAAAAAAAGTCACTGTATTAAAAATTCAAAGAGGGATTTTTGCTAAATTTTTGAAAATCAACTGAAAATTCGTCTAGCCACACACCTGAGGGCCCGTCCCAAAGAGTTGAAGACAGGGAAAGCTGGTATGTCATCAGGCTTTTTGAATGCCCAGTAATAGGAGGCAAAGGCCCCTGCCAGTGTGACCTGGCCCAATGCTGTCACGAAGTTGACACACCAAAAGAAGAGGAATAAATTGTAGAACTGGAATAGAATTAGGTACTTGTGGTATATCGTCTCTCCTCCATAAAACGCAAACAGACACTCCGCATCAGGACATTCGGTCGTGACATTTGAGCTGTTGAAAGTCTGAGGAGAAATCAAATCAATGCAACTTTATTAAATGTTTTATTAAATATTTTATCAAGTTTTGCGCCACAAAATATGCTAAAACAACTGCTAAAAACAGTTGAAAAGAGCTGTTTTCCATCTGAAATGTATTTCTGTGATGCAAAGCATCATTACTCCAGTCTTTGTGTCACATGATCCTTCAAAACTCATTCTAATATGCTGATTCGGTGCACAAGGAACATTTTTTCTTATTATTATTACCAATGCTGAAAACGTTTGTGCTCTGTTTGAAACCACAATAAATGTTTTTCTTTGATGAATAGAAAGTATTTTAAATATTTTGTAGCATTATAAATGGCACTTTGGATCAATTTAATTCATAATTATTCAATAAAACTATTTATTTATTACACTCCTTTCCCCCTCCACAAATCATACACTGTTCATTTATGTGACAAATGTCAAATAGCCAACATGACTACTTTCATGTAAAGATCTGACAAATAAAAATAATAATGCACTAACCTTAGGGTCGCAGGTGTATCTGGAAAAAGGACATTCGGTTGTATTGAAGACCTTGTATATTGGCTCATTGGAAGTGGACAAAAACCTAAATAACAGTTAAGGAGAAACTACTTCTTTCTAAAATTCCCTTTTTTTCCCAACATTCAAGTGTTTGGGGTAATAACGGTGTTTAAAAAACAGTGCACAATTGAAATCAGTAATGCCTTTGTCTATTTGTAATGATTTTCTTTAGGATACACGGCGGTGATGGCCCAGTATGAGATGACCAAAGTCAATAGGGCAAAAGTCAGCAGCGGGTAGAACAATGATGACATCACATGACCGATGGCCCTGAAAAATAGATGAGATTATTAGAACTTCCTGTCCAACACTCCCAGTTAACCTAATTATTATTTCATGACTTTAAGCCTCAGTTAATCCATCACGCTGCGAAAAACGCTGCTGTTTAACTACTAATGTTGTTAAAGTACCCAAAGAAAGCAATAATATGGAATATGAAACCAAACAACGCCAGCAACACATCTGAAAACACAGTTTGCTCTACAGTAAGAAGGTAGACTGACTTGCTGGCCTCTTTGATGAGAGCAATAGCAATGAGGATCCTCTTCCTGAGGAAGATGAGGAGGAGGATGATGACCACTTCCACAATACACAGGATAATTACTGTGTGGTGACAAAGGAGGTCAGGACGCAGTAGAATGTAATGGAAATTAGATGTGTACATATACAGTTGGTTTACTAATACTACTGTTTAAAACTTTGGGGTCAGTGCAATTTTTTAATAAGACTATTTTAGCAAGGATGCATGAAAGTGATAAAGTGAATGCATTTATGTTACAAAAGACTTATATTCCAAATAAATTCTGGTCTTTTGAACTTTGTATTCATCAAATAATCCTGAAAAATATGTGTATATCACAGTTTCCACAAAAATATTAAGCAGCACAACTGTTTTCAATATTGATAAAACAAATGTTCCTTTAGAATGTTTCCCGAAAGATCATGTGACACTGAAGATTGGAGTAATGATGCTGAAAGGAATAAATTACATTTTAAATTTTTGTTATTTCATATATTCAGAAAATTTTACTGCATTTTTTTCCCCAAAAACATTAAAATCCTACCAACCCCAAATGTTTTAATGGTAGTTGTATTGATTTTTGCTTTGCACTTTACTGACATAATGATGTAAAAACTCACTGAATGCAAGCCAGGTCTGCCGAATCTGCAAGTACACAGAGAAGTCCGTCTGTAGACCCAGATCCTTGATAGTGACATCAGAACCAGCCTCTCCTTTCAGACTGGCGTACTGCATGTAACAATGGAAAACACCTGCAGAGAGCCAGGAGAGGGGAAAAAAACATAAATGCGATGAATACAATATTTTTTTATGTAATTCAGTCAAATATGACTTTGCTACAATAATGAAAATCATCAAAGATGATAATAGCCCCTTTTCCACCAAAGCATTTTGAGAGCCGGTTCGGAGCCGGTGCCTGCAGTGCGCGCGAACCAGTTCTTTGTGTTTCGACAGCCAAAGAACCGGTTCTCGGCCCGAAGAACTGGTTCCAAAGCAGCACCAACTCTTTGCTGGACTAGAACCGTTCTTTTACCGTGTCATGCTTACGTCGGGGTCTGGGGCGGGTTTAGATGTGTTCTAAACATCTTTTCTGACCATAATAGAGGATCGCAAATCAGGAGAAACATTTGCAGAAACACGATGGAGTCAGCCTTTGTAATTGTTATGCTTGAAGTTAACGCAAGCGTTTCTATTTTTGTAATTTTTTTATTGAAGACATTATAAGCAAAGAAGAAAAGTCACAATATAGAACAAATAAATGGAAAGAAAAAAAGACACAATTACAGGGGTACAAAACTCATCAGAAAAAATTACATATCAAACGAAAAGATTAAAAGACTTACACGTTTCAATTGTTTTAAAGCTTTCTTGGTATACGAGTTAGAGATAATCCGAAAGTAATGTTGTATTTGCAAGCGTTTCTAGCTAAGACGTATGGGGACGTACACAGTGACGTAACGACGTCGTTCCCTGGGCGCTCTAGGCCATGGAAAAACAAATAGGTTCTGAAGCGGTTCACAAGTTGAACCAACTCCGAACCAACTTTGAACCAGCACCAGTTCCGAACCAGTTCTTTTTTTGGTGGAAAAGGGGTAAATGAGATTTGCAAAAAAAAGTAAATGTCCAGGCGCATTACAATGGTAGGAATTTAGGGGGAAATTGTCCTTAATGTCACACAGCAAGAAAATCTGATAACACTTTACTTGAAGGGGTGTGCATAAGACTGACACCTTCATAATCATGACAAGACACGTCATAAATATGAAGGAGATTCCGTGCATGTTTATGACAACTGTCATTAAGTGTCATTTGCTCAATTATGACATTTTTAATGCAAATATGACATTGTTTGACATGTGTTTATAACATCTTGACGTAAACCAATACATCATAACCTGTCAGTGTCTTCGTCATGACAACTTGACATTACTAAGACAACACAACCTGTCATAAACATGACAAAGCAGATTAATGATCAAACTTAAGAAAGCACTTCGCTTTATGGGTTAACATTACATTAAACTATAATGTGGTTAGTTTTGACATTGGCTGTCATGAAGCCATTTTAACATTTTAATTAACAAGTTCAATGTGTACCACTGTAGTTGAGGTCAAGAAACATATTCAAGACACAGTTATGAAGGCTATTTAATAAACTGGTGACAGGTTATGTTGTCTTAGTAATGTCAAGTTGTCATAACAAAGACATTTCACTATGTCATATTTGCATAAAAAATATCATAATTGAGCAAATGACACTTAATAACATTTGTCATAAACATGCATAACCCTCCTTCATATTTATGACATGTGTCGTGTCATGATTATGAAGGTGCCATGTCAGTCTTATGCACACCCCTTCAATTAAAGTGTTACATAAAATCTTAATGATCCTAGAAATATATATATTTGTATGTATTTATTTTCTATTGATTTTGAGTTAAAGTTAAACACTGCTAAAGTGTTTGGTAACTATAGGATAAACATGCACTGGGCACGTAATGTTATTTGAGAGGTCTACACAACACAACAGCCCTTACCGTATCCAATAACAATGATGACCATGATGATCATAACCCAGATCATGACTCCAGCCAGACAACGCAAGAGGAGAAGAAAGATCAGACTGACCAGCATGGCGATCACCAAGCCACTGAAAAGGACCGCATAAAGATTTAATCAATGCTCCTGTAATTCATCTAAAAATCACTGGGGCTCACCAACACTAAATCTGACTGCCATAACTGAACACTGGCTGTTATTTAGCCTGATGCAGATAATGGAAATAAAAAAGCGCTTACAGAAGGATCCAGTGCCAGGACTGAGTATAGTCCTCAAAGATCCTCATGGCTACTGCCCGGGCCTCAACCACTACATTAGATTTCCTGAAAAAATGGTAATATTAATCAAAATGATTTAATGTTCAATATGATTCACATTAGAATATTGAAATATTATTCAAATATTTCTACACAATAATATATTATATTCAACAAATGAATATTAACACAAACAAATACATAATATCACAAACTTTGAGGCTTCAAGGAGATCTGTTGCATTTATATTTTCTCCTTTATCATCCATGTACGTAGTTTGGTTGCCAACCACAACTACACCACCTTTCAAGGTCTCTAGAGCGGGCAAGCATCTCCGTGTGACTGAAACACAGGGTGACGGTCATAATTTTAAGCCAGTTTACTGACACAGTGCAGATCTGTTGTTAAGTGCAAACAACCTAACTAAAATCAGAGTAGGGTAACTCTTGCCAAAATTGAACCTAGGCTTCTTTTGTTAATTTACAATGGATGGAAACGCCACTTTTAAGATTGACAGTATTTTCGTGTTAGGTCAAATAGCCTTATGAATGGGAGAGCATGGGGCACTTCTATGATAGCATCAAAATCGTTTTTTATAAAACAAGGCTCGTTGCGACATAAAACTGTGCTCGAAATATCACAAGGGGCTCTACACATGAACTTGAGCATTGACTACATTGTTAGTGTACACAAAGTGTACTAAAAAGAAATGTTTTGTTCGACTCGCTTTATCAGTTGGTGTTTCCGGCCGCCGGCATTTTGTCAGTCAAAAATAGTCGATCTCCGAATGCAACGTAATAGGGATGAGAGTAAAGATGTAAAGCTCCTAAACCTCAGTTCTATTTAAATTCAAGGATAATTTGTTGTTTTGTCGTTGGTGAAAATCAATATTGACCTTGTATTTGAAAAAGGATCCTCATATAATAATGAAACGATTATTACTATTTTTGACTGACAAAATGTTGGCGGTTGGGAAGAACAACAGCTACAGTGAGTTGTTCAAAACCTTTCCTTTTAGTAAACTTTGTGTACATAAACAATGTAGTCAAAGATCATGTTCATGTGTAGAGCCCCTGGTGATACTTAAAGCACAGTTTTATGTTGCATCGAGCCTTCTTAGTGTTTTAAAAATAGCGATTTTGATGCTATCATAGAAATGCCCCATGCACTCCCATTCAAAACGCAATTTGACCAAACACGGAAATACAGTCAATCATAAAAGTGGCATTTCCATTCTAATTATGCTTTTACACAAAAGATTGACTCGAGTAGATTAACAAAACAGCCTAGGTTCAATTTGGGCAAATTTTAACTACTTTATGTGATTTAACAAGCATATTTGGAAAAGGCTTACAATTCTTGCTAGGAGTGAGTATTGAAGGACACAAGCCATCCTTCAGGATTTCAGGAGCTTTCTATAAAAGAGAAGACATTTTTACTACACTTACTACAAATAAAAGGTCCAAAACGATGTTTTTGCAGTGATAGAAGGACCATTTTGGGTTCCCTAAAGAACTTGGGTTTACTAAAACAACTTCTGGTTAAAATGGGAATATCAAATATGACATCAGGATTTTGAGGAACGTTTATTTGTACATATTTCAATAATGACTGTACTGCCTAGCATTTTATGTTTTGCCCCCACAATATAACTAAGAAATTAAATACCATCTTACTAAGACATATTATTGTGAGATATAGAGTGACAACTGATATTTATGTGTATGTATATATATATATATATATATATATATGCATTTTATGTATGTAGTCGGCTCCACAGGTTTGAAAGACTCGCTGATTAACATTAGAAGATATTAGAATTTAATCTTACTTTTTGACCATGTAAATGTCAGCGACTGCATACAATTGTATATTTTTGCTCACTTTGGGCCTCTGAATAAAATGGTTAAAATTGTTTTTGTCTGAGCTCAAATATTCTCACTATATTCTACTATATTAGTCATAAAAACCTGATGTAGCAAATATGATACGCATGAACACATATGCACTTTTTAATATTTAAAAATATTTTGTCAACAGGTTCAATAAATAATTTCATGTAGTAACCTAAACCAGTGTATAAACTGTTTATTTTAGGATTGCTAACCTAAACCCTAAACCACTGTACTAAAATTGGGGGGCAGTATAACAAAATTGTATGTTTTCATGATATATTATTTACTTACCCTGTTCATGTCAACTCCTTCCTTGCAGAATTGCTTGTAGTATTCCCGATCATCATTTTTTTTCAAAGCCTTCACTAAAGTCATGAATTTATCTGGACATTTCTCCACACAGATCTGTCAAATGAACAAAAACGTTGATACTAGAATAGATACATATGGTACTGCAAAAAGAAGTTTATTTGAAACAGTGCCAAACCTGAGTGGTAGGACATTGAAACTCAAGCAGGACAAGAGGACTTGCACACTTCAGGATGTTGAAGTAGAACAGCAGGGGCTTTTTCCTGATTATTCAGACAGATTATGATAAGAACAAAATAAACGTGCATGTCTGAGATACATCTGAGTAAAGGCCCACTCACACCAAGGAAAATAACTATAACTATAACAATAGAGAAATCGTTCTAAAAATCATTCTAAATGTAAGAGTCCACACCACAACTATAATTATAACGGCACAGAGAAGGCCAATGACAGGCCAATTACAATCCATCATCCAGCTCCAACATTTAAAGGGGCAGATGACAAAACTGCCGTTCACGCTTAGAATACACAGAACTATATAATCCGCTGGTGTGGACGCTATTGTAGATTTCTTAATGGCTTTAAAAGCCTCAGAACTGCATTAAAAGTCTTTTGTGTAGGCCAACACAACATGAAACATGTCTAGGTACGTTTTCAAAAAGACAGCTTTACTCACTCAAGTTCGGTGCCGACCTGCCCACAAAACTGGCCCTTACTGTCTGTGGGGTAAATCACCTTCCGAGGGTCACCTTGAGTCCATGCTATAACAAAACACACAGCACTGTCAGTGTGGTAAGACAAGTAAATTGTACTAAGACATTGACAAGGTTTAATACTTTCCGCCCATCTACACATAGTGGCATTGTGAATTGAAATATGAAAATTATTAGGCTGAATCTTACCCAGAATGCCAACTGCAAAGTATCCCAGCAAGGCTAAGATGAACAGTATGCAACAGATAATGTCTGTGCAGCCCCTGTTCACCAAGAAAAGTAAACACATTCACTGCTACAGCACTTATCTTGAAGGTTATTAGATTACATAAATCCCATAAATATAAATAAATACAAGTTAAAAAAGGTTTAAGGTTTAATAAAAAAAGGTTGTCTCACCTGTTATAAATCGGGCCTTTAAATGTGGGGTCAAATTTCCTCGCCTCACCTGGGAAGACATTGAAATTGTGTATTTATTCCCAAAAGAAATTTCATTTGTAGGCATGTCCATGAATATATATACTTAATAGTATATTTATATATACTATTTAGTAGTTGCTTATTAGCATGCATATTCCAAGGATATTGGCTGTTTATTAGTACTTATAGAGCACATATTAATACATTATTCTGAATGATCAATTTAACAACTACATTTTCTAACTATTAATAAGCAGAAATGAGGAGTTTATTGAGGTAAAAGTCGCAGGTAACAGTTAGTTAATAGTGAGAATTGGACCCTAAACTAAAGTGTGACCAAAAACTATAAACTCTTATTGGAGTCCTGAAGAAAGAAAAGAAACTTTTACAGGTTTTGAACAGCTTAGGGTGTAAATATTTTGGGGTAAACTAATCATTTTAGTAGACAATTTACATTCTTTAGTTACTGCATATATTCTCTTTAGTAGGGGTGTAACAATATATCGTGCCACAATATATCGCAATACAAAAATGCAACAATACGTATCGTGGATACTTAGTGACAATATGTATCATGAAAATAAATGTATCCCCCCCAAAATAAAAATTACTCCGTGAGAAAAAATTAAAATTTTAGTGTAAGTACTACATTGAACTACTATATATAAATGTTGATTATAATGTATAATAATGTAATGGGGGGAATATGTGTGGCTCCTGAAACTGCCAAATGTCTGATGTTACCAGTAAAAAGTGGCAAACATTATTTTAAATATATCTAGTCAGTGAAAGCGTGAAAGCATATTCATCTAAAATAACTCATGAATATTGTTATTCTGGTGTCACCATTGTCCTTGTGTTACAAGCACCAAGTCCAAGCCTATTCATTTAAGCCTACAATGTAATATCAAATTTAGCATTGTAATCTTGGGAGTATCGCGATAATATCGTATTGTGAGGTCAGTATTGTGATATGTATCGAATCGTGACATGAGGGTATCGTTACACCCCCACTCTTTAGTGATATTGTAAAGCAGTCCTGCCCACAGATAATAGCCCAAATACTGTATATTGGTAACCACCTTATTTTTAACATAAGTGCGGGAATGGTGATTTGTCACTGCTTCCAGTTATTTTATGCTGCTTCATATTGCAAACTGCTATTTCTTACATCTTACATTCACAGAACATAGCTCACTTTGCCACTGCAAAATAAGGTTGATAAAAAGTATTGCAATCTCTACCAACACATTTCTACTGTATTAGTAGTATAATATAGTCTTACCACCCAGGCCTAGTGTGCCCATGAATTTTCTCTTTCTGCCTCCCAACACTTAAAGGGTTAGTTCACCCAAAAATAAAAATTCTATCAACAAGTAAGACCTTTGTTCACCTTCAGAATACAAATAAAGATATTTTTTTATGAAATCTGAGAGCTTTCTGTCCCTCCATTGACAGCAATGTCATTGCAACTTTCAAGGCCCATAAATGTAGTAAAAACATTGTTAAAATAGTCCATGTAACTACTAGGGCTGGGCAAAAAAATCGATTTTTCGATTAATCGTTTTTTAAAATGTGTTCGATTCAAAATCGATTCTCAACGGCCGGAATCGATTTTTTCCATATAAAGGGCTCGCGGACGCGGTGCTGCATCTTCTCGTCTCTCTGCACTAGGCAAGCGCCAAGCGCTGCAGCTGTCGATACACACACGCGTTTAGGAGTCGGGACATGACGGAATATTCACTTAACAATCGGGCCAGCATTGCATCGTAACCTATGATCGTAACTAACGTTTATCATTTTCACGTCTTTTTGAGTTTTACAAGCAATGTTAAACCATCCCGTGATCGCGCACTCTCAGAGATGTCTTTCACTGCGTGCACAGTAACGTTACAGCCTAAATCTGCCTCACAAACAGCTCGCCAGAAACAAAAGTTTTATCCCTGGATTATATCGCTTTAACAGTTAAAACACGCAACATTATGTCAAAACTCTGGTCTTGGTGAGTAAACTCCTAAAGACAGTCGGTAATGTCTTAAATTAGCATTAAACGTGTGTGACAGAAAGTTAATGAAACAGTAATGGATTCGCACACTAGTTCTTAAAGTGAACGCAGCCATTTGTGTCAGTCATTAATTCTGTTGTCATAACAACAGAATATAGTATTAATTGTAAGCAATCAGAATTAATAGCCTTTGTATTTAATTCAGTCTGGACTAAAAAGTCTATCCAGTGTTATTTTACATTGGATTACTTTATTCAGTTTCTGTAGTATTTCTGACATACCCAAAAAAACTACCCCAAAATGTCTCTTAATTTGTGTCTTTATTCTATTGTATTTATTTGTGCTACTTTTTTCAATTTAATTCAAAGATTGAAATCAAGCTTCCATTCATAAACTCTTAAAACAAAAATAAACAAAAAATTACATTACCATTTAGGTAAGATCAATGTAAATAAAAAAAGTCTAAATATTTATATATTTATTTATCTTTATCTATCTTAAACATAAAATAACATGATACTGTTTGATCAAGCTGTGCGACTGTTCTGACTTTTTTTGCATATTGCATCAAAATCCTGTTTATTCTTTGTATGCATTTAGTGTACCTAAAATAAAAAGAGTTTTATATACAGGTTTATGGCTCTTAATTTCCTTGTATTAATTAACCACTAGTAAACTTATGTCCACTGTTCTTTTTTTATAAATATAGGATTTGTATTACATCTTCATTATAGTCGAATCGAGAATCAAATCAGGAATCGAAATCGAAAATTGAATCGAGAATCGAAATCGAATCGAACTGAGAGCTTGTGAATCGAAATCGAATCGAAATGTGAATCGATACCCAGCCCTAGTAACTACAAGGGTTCAACCTTAAAGTCCCTGTAAAGTCAAAATTAATGTGTTCTGAGTTTGTCACACCACAGAAAAAATGTGTTATTAGCCACCCAGACAAATTTGAATGATAAAAAGGCTAGCTCATTATTGGCTAGCTCCTGGGTCATCACACACATGACCAGCGTTGGCCAAATAGTGAGCCTATGCTCTGACGTAGAACCCAGAAGTGCTACACTGTTTACACTACGTATTTCTCACCCTGAGGGCGAGTAATTCTTTTAATTAATGACAGAATTTTTCTTTTTGAGTGAACTAGGCTACTCCTTTAAAGGTGTTGCAGCCAAATGGATAACCATCCGGTTTGGCTCCTGTTTTAATGAGGAAGCTGTGCTAGCATACCGAATTAAGTAGCAAATTTCATTTCGGGATGACCTATCTAACCCTAACACTATTTTTTTAAAGTCCTCCCTGTTAGTGAGTGTCAAAGTCTAATGGATCACTTCCACTGATCAATGAAAGGTTACCTCAGTACAAAAAATATTCGTTTCTATTGTCTAAGGTGAAACACTGTGGATATGGCTGGTTCTGTTCAGTAACTACTGTATAATAAACTGGGTAAAAGTGTATGTTTATTTAACCTGCACCTTTTGTAACTGGTATGTTTCAAAGTATTTACATCTATCACATCCAACATGAGACGAGCGTTAGCAAGAATGAAGAATTATCAGGCATATTTCTGGATATTTGGCATGTAAATGTGATGTCTTCAGTCATGTGTGCAATGCCTCACTTTCACTAAACTCAGCCAAGTGTGAATTGCAAAGCTACAGAGTCTATTTAGGGAAGCAAGTTGGCCGGACAGAAGTGCATCCTGTAGCAGAAGCTCAAGTAAATGTTTTGCAGTGCACACAGCATAACTCCATGGAATGGCTGCTCCAAACAATTCAATTTATTTACCATTTATTTATTTATATTTTTCCTTTCTTGGATTTCTAATTATTTGCTTATATGTGGTCGCAAAAGTATTTTATTAAATGTCCCTCTAATATTTGAATACTTAAAAATGAATGAATGTTACTGTATCATGTTGTATATGTTGTACTGTACATGTTACTGAAACAGATCAACAAGGGACAAACAAATAAAAGCTCAAAAATATTGCAGGTGCTTTTTAAATTATTCTAAAAGTGTGTAAACATCTTTTGTCTCCTAAACAGTATATAACATTATAACAAATATATTTTTGTGAAAGTTTTTGATTTGCAGGGAATTTTTTTGTTATATAATGCATTTAGTGCATAAATGTATGTGTTCAAGCACACTACCATTTAAAAGAAGTAAAAAAAAAAATCAGCATCATTACCGTCTTCAGAGTAACATGCCCTTCAGAAATTATTTTATACGTCGATTTGCCGCTCAAGAAACATTTTTTATGTGGATGCAAATGCTACATACTCAAGACGTGTAGTGCAGTTGCGATTCGAGCAACACAAGTTTGAATCATGACTTGGTGGTAATACGCCTTATTCACGGCAGCGCCATCTTTGATTTTTAATGAGAATGAAAGCGAGGCTGTGAGGGATAGACTTGCATCTCTTCAATGGGCTGTACTGTTATTTAATGTGTTTTCGAAATGTTCTGCTCATGAAACACTGGAAAAATATCTTTCTAAGAAATTTCAGTTGACAAAAAACTCCTGACAGTAAGTTGTGGAAAATTGTAAGTAATCTAAGAGCTTTATTCAGCTTTTTAAAGCGGATGCCATTAGAAACACGGTAAGTCTATCCCTGACAGCCTCACTATCACACCTGTCATGGCGCTGCTCTGAATAAGGTCTATTGGTGGCAATTTCCTTTCTCTTTCCCACTTCGCTTCCTGTCTGCTCTGCACTGTGCTATACAATAACAATAAACAAAACTCAAAATAACGTTTCTTATTTTTTATCATTGATGAATAAAATTGATTCAGGATTCTTTGATATATAAAAAAAGTTAAAAAAGAACAACATTAATTCGAAACAGAATCTTTTGTAACCTTATAAGTCGTTACTGTAACTTTTGATCAATTTAATTGAGTTCTTAAAGGGACACTCCACCCATTTGTATTAAGCTTTCCATGTTAGAAACCCAGTCATACTATTGAATGGTCATGCAACACTCTCTCATTTTGCCCTGAGAAGAGAGAAA